CATAATTTATCCGTAGATCAACTAATATAGACCCAATAATTAATATAAAGATAAAATATAATAAAAACCATCATTTATTTTTAAAAGTGCACATACAAAAAAGATCAATTAGTTTTTAGAGGATCAAATAATATTGTCCCCTTAAATAATCACTGTTAAATGTGATTAATTTATCACTTTTACCGCGACTGTCGGGAATTATTCATAATAACCGGTTATTATTAATAATTTTCAATTTATCACATTAACCGTAACATATATATCTCTCTCGTTCTATTTTTTGGGAATGGAAAGAGACGAATCTGATTTGCGTAAGTGAAAATAATAATTTGATTACATACTCAATTGACTGATATTAGACTTCAGTGTGCCTACCATGAGTTTACGTTAGGTGTGCTCGCTAGCGACTGCGTAAAAAAATGACATTTAAATGTATGACATATTGTGCAGCGCCCCTAGCGGCTACTTTCAAGAAATAAAATCTTCATAGAATTTTTTGACGTATTCGCTAGCGAGCTCACCTAACGTAAACTCATGGTAGGCACACAGTAGTCTTATTCACGTAACAAAACTTCATCAACGACAACACAGTGTGAGTTGCGACTCTACCGAGTAATCTTTCTATCAAAATAACCCTTGTTAATACGGATTTAGAACTGTTTTTCAATGGGACGACGTAACAAAACTTCAATGATGACAACAAATCGCCGAGTTGCGATCCTATCGAGTAATCGTTCTATAGAAAATGACCCTTATGAATACGAATTTAGAACTATTTTTCAATGGGACGACTTCTGAACGTCAGCGAGATCTTGACTGCTAAAATACGTGAATTAGGCCACTGAGCAGCTATTTAATCTATTTCTGTAGTTAATTGAAAATTGCTAAAATCAAGTGGCAGTGGCGCATAGGTCGTCTTAGAACTGATGGTCGTTGGGGCAGACAAGTTTTCGGGTGACGAGCACGGGCCGGAAGACGTAGTGTGGCCAGGCCCCTCACTAGGTGGACTGACAAACTGGTGAAGGTCGCGAGAAGTAAGGCAGCGTAGGACCGGTCGTTATGGAAATTCTTGGGTGAGGCCTTTGTCCAGCAGTGGACATCATTTGGCTGAAATGAACGAATTAATTTTTTTAAGGTTAATACACAATATAATTATTTCTGATGAAATTCTGCTGTAAAATTACTGATGTTGCTGTTGAAATGCCCTAAAAGTTGTTATTATCTTTTGGGTTGTAACAACCTCGGTATCAGACATCATATGTCACCACACACGTCTGATATATTTAGTTCAGTCAGACCAACGAAATACTAAATTATCTCCTCAATAATAATATAGGCCTAGCATCGAATTACTAATTTATCCTAATGTAACTATATATTATTATGTTTAATTAGGTATCTGTAGTAAACCACTACAGTAATCATATCATGCTCCTTCAATTTGCCTTGTGTCATTAGGGCTAGAATTTGATATTTATTAGTGTTGTGACGCTATCTAATACTAAGGGTGGGTTGCACCATCTTACTTTAACTTTGACCAACGTCAAAAATCTGTCAAACTCCATACAAAAAGCACCGGTTATCGTCATAATTACCGTTAAAGTTAAGTGGTGTATCTCAGCCTATGACTGAGTTGGTAGTGAATTTTTGATAAAATATCAAAAATCATTGAATGCAGTTCTTTCTTTTCAAAAATGAATGAATGTGTTCTTTCAGTAAAATTGTCTATCTACTGTATTAAGAGTACTTTCCCTCCAGGTGGCATTACAGAATTCCACCCTGTATACTCGACTATAACTTTGTTTGCTACTTCAACTATTCAGTTTCCAAAGGTTGTTCAGAATACAGACCCATTACGTCACGTCACAGTGTCACATTATGTGTTTAGATCGTTAATGGTGACACAATAGCGAGCGGGCGCAATTAGCGTTACTCATAGAGCGTCTTGGTTCGCAAGTTTGTGTTACACTGGTGGAATGGAACACTCTTAATAGGCTGAGTTGCGCCATGTTACTTTAATTTGACAAACGTCAAAAATCTGTCAAACTCCATACAAAAACACCGGTTATTGTTATAGTTACGGTCAAAGTTAGGTGCAACTCCTTAGTATTTATAACGGTGAACTTATCGACTAATAGACTTGAACGGGTAGCGCGACCGGTCGTCGTGAAAATCCTGGCCTTTGTCCAGCAGTGGACGTCATTTGACTGAAACGAACGAACTTACAGACTGTCCGTTGCAAAACAACGCTCAAAATATCATCCAGGAAGATTTTTGTGTGAAATTTGTTTAAATATTAATTTGCTCAATTCTTATTTTATAATCTCACTAGTTCTCAAAATGCCAATGAACTCTCAAAAACAATTCACATTTTATTGAAATTGAAACTTCCAAAACGAAAAACGACCGTCTTATTAACTCATTTGGCGAAATACTCGTAGTTGGGAACAAAACACTTTATAACAACGGTTTAGTATTAATAAAAACAGGATAAAACACAGTTTTTAACTGGAGAAGGAGACACCCGAGAGAAAAAGCTGATTGAATTCCAAATTGAGAACTAGAGATGCATTTACACGACACGATTCTTGAAAATTGTTCTACTTGAGAATTGAAGTTTCTTTCAATATTTCAACTTTCTCTAATTGTAATATTGCTTTCATAAAGTAGGTATGTAAATAGTATTTTATGTTTATACTCGTAGTACACGCAAAAATAAGGGAGGGAATGAAAAACAATTTTTTGGAGGCTCGATGAAACAATGGTTGGGAAACCCTGATCTAACCGCCTCCATGGTCTAATGCTTCAGATCCAGAGGTCCCGGGTTCGATTCCCAGTGGGCGCAAATTTTTCTGTACGATTTGGTTGCTGTTAGGGCTTGTTCTAAGTCTAGCTAGATAAAAAATCAAAAATCAAAAAATATTTATTCAGTTTAGACCACAAGTGGCACTTATGAACGTCAATAGAAAATAATAAAAAAAAGAAAAGGTAGCCCTTATGGGGCACTTTACATGTCTCCTTATCTTTTGGGCCCTACCAGCGCTTCGAGTCAAACATATGGCAAGGATACCACCATCTTACGTAAGTCTGTCGCCATAACAATTTTAGTAGCATTGCTGTGTTCCGACAGTCGAGATAAGATATCCTATGTGGTTGAGGATTTTTTTTATGCATAACAAGGCAAGTATTTGACCACAATCGCACCTGATGTTAAGTGGGATGCAGTCTAGGATGGTACATATCTGGATTCCGGGTGAAATCTTCCACCTTCGACCTACTTTCCATTATGTGAGGTACATACAGGTCAAGAAGTTCCTCGTTGTAGATTAAAAAAACATTTCTCGATCCGTTCCCGAATCGTACAGTGTAAACCTTCAACTTTAAAGCAAGTAAACCAAAGTACGTTAGCGCCGGACCATTTGCATTTCGCCAAGATCATTTTGAAACGCGACGGATTGGAGACTCCTTTGGAGTTGTTCCAGGATTATTACCATTTGATGGTAATTTGAGACGGCCCAGGTCTGTGTTATCTAATATTATGGTAATGGACCGTTTTGAGGTATGTTTCTGTTGGTTTAGGATAATTGAGGGTAATTAGGGAGCGTGTAAGATAGATTTCATTGTTGCGTTACATTTATACTTAGCAATTATACACTGACAGTATCATTTAACGGGACTATTCCCACTTGTCGTTCCCACCTGCATAGCCAGGATCTACAGTATGACCGCCAATAAAAACCCAACCAGTGAAGGTCAAGTTTGTCCCGGGGGAAAGTTATACTGTCCCTAAATCCATCTTCGTGGTGTGTGTGATCCTCTATGATGAATTTATTCATCATCAGCATATTGTTTAATCTGTAGGTAGGTACCTACTAAATTCATAACAGACTACTTCAATTATTTAACTGTTTAATCGGTAGGGACAAACCCATCTATCATGCATCCGTTACGATAAGCGAATCACACTTCCCGTTTTAATATACTACACTCTAGTTGGACCAATACTTAGGTTCTTTATTTTTCACTAGCTTTTGCCCGCGCTTTTTAGAACACAGTTTCTTCTGATTAATTTCGTTGCGGGTCCAATGACAGTATAACTTTCCCCCGGGACAAACTTGAACGTCACTGGTTGGGTTTTTATTGGCGGTCAAGCAAGATCCTGGCTACACAAGAGTTGCAGCGGTGGGAACAAGAGGTGGGAATAGTCCCGGTCCGGTTGAACCATGGCGGAGGCCTAAGGCAGATCATGAAATAAGCCATCATGATGAACTTACTTATTGCCACAACCCATGGGATAGAAAATTAGGATCAGTTACGCGTATTTTCCCCTGATTTCTTCCTCCTTTATTATTTTCATCATCATTCAAGGCCGCTATTGTTTTTATTATTATTATCAGTTATTTAAAAACCAGCCAAGTGCGAGTCGGACTTACGCACGAAGAGTTCTGTTCGGTACCATTGTAGTGTCGTCTCGTTCTACCGCAAAGAATCGCCATTTGATAAGAGCGAGAGCAAAAACGGAAATGGATAGTTAACACTGCGGCCGTGTGTACAACATTATATACAATATCAAAACCTTTTTTGCTATAGCAGCAACAGAAATAAGTACATCATCATCCTAAAAAGATCTACTGTCTAGCTAACACGGTTCATGAGATACAGCCTGATGACAGACAGACAACTAGTGGAATCTTAGGTAATAGTGGTAATAGGGTCTCATTTTGAGTCTTCCAGCGTTTGAATTTTTCAGTATGTTTTCTTCCGGTAAATTCCGGGACACCTTCGATGATTGATTCAAAAATTAAACACCAAATCAACAAAAATCTATTCTCTTCTAAAATCTTAAAGTGGGCCCAGTTGCCGGGAAAAAAAATTCAATCCGGCGACTTGCCCCGTGGACCAAGCTAAAAGTGGGCCAAATCGCTGGAAGTTTTTATCCTTTATGTATGGAATCCTAAAAACGATCAATTTTATCAACACAGTTCCGTTCAGTCAATGCATCCTACGGCAAAGCTAAAACACTGTCGTTTTTGTTTAGTGCAGTCGTGTGTAGTGTTTGTTTTTAACAGTGAAGTGAAAAATGAAGTGGCTTTTGTCTCTATTTTTATTTGTGATAGGCGTTCATGCTCAGGAATCGAATTTTACGTTCACGTATGAAAGTATGTATTTTTGTTTAGTATAAATAATTATTATGTATATTCCAGTCAAAATCGACTCAGCAAACGCGCATGTATCTACCTACGAGTTTTTTTTTTATATTATGTTATTAAGTTCCTAATAGAGAAGTGTGTTTCAATCCTGAAAATCTCTACTTCTTATATATTTTTGAACTCCTTAAAGTCCATTGTTTGCCGTTAATTGTATCGATATTGACTGGACTAAGCTTCAAAAATAAAATAAAACAACATGATCTGTTATTTAATGTAAGTAATCTCTTTGAAAATAGAGTCAATATCCAGGATTTTAGAATACTATAATTTGCGAAATTGTCCAAAGACCATTAAGCCTACTTTCAAAAAAATTTTTTTTTTAATATTTAATCTACATAGAGTAACTGTGTTTTCTAGTAAACAAGTTTTGTCTGTATGTTTACAATATTATACCTATTGATGTAAAATGTAATACTAAACTTTTTCTACTTATACCTTTGCACTCAGTGGCAACACATTGCAAAGAACACATCTGCCAGCGAGGCTACAGCTACGATACGTACTACAGCGTGGACGCAGAAGACAGAAAGAACTACAACTCTGACGGAGTCACCTTTGAGATGCACATCGCGATCCAAGCTGGCAGCAACGGGCATATACTGCTGTCTTCTGTAGCCTATCCGGACCATAATGATCCGGTTTACGAAATAGGTAAGTACAGAAGATATAGTCTGGTCTGTGAGCACGAAGAATTTTGTCCAATGACCCCAAGCTATCCATCCTTATCGCTCGCGCGTAATTAGGTTGCTGTCGCGCTCGCATACTCACTGCGGGCGCCCGTTGCACAGTCGCGACAGCAATATAATTACGCGCGAGCGATAAGGATGGGTAGCTTGAGATCATTGGACAAAATTCTACGTGCTCACAGACCGGGCTTTAGCACATCGTACTATAAATTTTTGTAGTAAATAAGTACCTATTTTAAACTGGTACTGCAGATCGCAATCCAAGCTGGGAGAAGAGGGAATATCCTGCTGTCTTCTGTGGCGTACCCAGATCATAATGATCCGGTATATGAAATAGGTAAATAAAGGCACATGGAACTATACATTTTTGTAGCAAATGAGTACCTATTTTAAACTAGTACTTCAGATCGCAATCCAAGCTGGCAGCAACGGGAATATCCTGCTGTCTTCAGTGGCGTACCCGGATCATAATGATCCAGTTTATGAAATAGGTGAATAAAAAGCCTGCAGACTATACATTGTTGTTGCAAAATAGCACCTTTTTCCAGTACATTATACTTTGTTGGTCACCTGTCCTTCACTTTGCACTGGAGGGAAGTCTATCCATAACACTTCCTCATGTTCTTCTGATTCATTTCGTTGCGTACTATATCCTATGACAGTTTACTTTTCCCCGGGAGAAACATGGCCTTCACTGGTTGGGTTTTAGTTGGCAGTCAAGCTGTAGATCCTGGCTATACAGGAAGAGCAGCGGTGGGATTCTTCCCATTGCTGACTAGCTCTTCTGAGCTAGGTATAGAGTCGTTACTACAGCACAGTTGTTAAGCTTGATGTTTTGTTGTGATTCCAGTGGTTGGTGGTGGTGGAAATAAGTTCACAGAGCTACGTAGAAACCTAAAGAGGAACGCCAAGGCATCATCGGTCACAGTTGGTATACTTTCAGCTGTGGAACTGCGAGGATTCTACATACGGCTTAAAGACAGTAAGCATTTTATGGTAACCAGCGTTTCAATAGTCAAAGAGCTTCTGTAATTAAAATAATTCGATATTAGAAGTAACAGCAAATTATATGTATTAGATACTTACCTTAGATTTGCTGACTTCATTAAAATTATCATGGCAGACTCTGAGTAGATAATGCTCGAAAATCTCGCTTGGATTTCTCAACAAGTGAGTCTCAGTATAGGCAAATAGACAAGATGAAGATCGTGGTATCGAGAGCTCGTACTTGACAGCTGTTGACTAAATAATACAATAGAGACAGGGTAAACAATTCCATCTTTAATTGATCAAAGTATAAAAGGCCTTAAGGAATCAGGAGAATACCCAAAACATTACAAAATCCAAAAACTAAAAATATTGGTTCTGGATATCCTTTGAGTTAGATTATCAGTAAATTCTTACTACATTTTGTGCAATCTTCTTCTTTTTACAGACCTAATAGAATTCTCAAGAGAAGGAGCAACGGCACCAATAATCAAATACTATGACGTGTCCCCTCTTGACATCAAGTTCTTCAGCTTCGCAGCGTGGAATGGCGTTGAAGCGAAGTTCTTGTACGATTGCCCAAGACCGGGAGAAGGTAAGACTAATTTTGGCAACACATCACATTTCACCGTACTTTTATCTCCCGAAAGTTTTACAGAGTGGAAACGATAAGTGATCTCACTTGATTATTCCTAAACTACTCGTACATTAGATCGAAAAACCAGTTACTGATCTTGAAAGTGTCTTCTTCTATCTTCACGTCACGAACTCTATCAAATGGTACCAAAAACATCTATCCGAAAATCAATGTTTCCAGCTTCCATACTTGGCTGTACTAAAGCCAGTATATTGCTTGGCCCGTAATTATAAGCTTTGAAATATTTTATAAGGTAAAACCTCCTATTAATAATTTCAAGCTTCTTATGTAAAATTTATTGTAACATTAATTATTTAAAGGTTCCAACGAAACAAGACACTCAAAAGAAATAAAGAGAAGACTGTCTGACTCCGAGCAACTGAAGGAGGATCTACTGAAATACAGGAGTCCGAATATGGCACCGGGTCCCAATGTCAGTGTGTCTGTGCATGTCAACATCACTGGACTCAAGTACAACGCGTTTGAATCTAAGCTTACGACGGGGATAAGTTTGATTACTGTAAGTATTACGGGACTATTCCCATCTCTCGTTCACACCGCTGCAACTTCTGTGTAGCCAGGATCTTCAGCTTTACCGCCTATAAAGCATATTGTTCCGGGGGAATCTTAAACTGGTAGTAACAATGTTTTTCGTTTGAATTAAACTATTGTTTCAGTTCTGGATAGATGAAAACCTTGCGTGGGAGCCTTCGAAATTCAATAATGTATCCAGTGTGTCATACCGCCAAGGTCAGATTTGGAGACCGATGTTCCAGGTTTATAAGTAAGTTTAATGTTTTACAACAACCTTAACGTGGGGTCTTTAATTTTCTATTGGGGCTCTTACATAATGAACTTTTTTATTTTTCAGCGCTGACAACTTGGACGCGTTAAAAACTATCGGCCACGAACTGATTTGGGTGTACCCTGACGGCTATGCCATATTCCACTCGAAAGCTACCATAGATTCGTGGTGTTTCACTGAAACTACTATCTATAATAGGTGAGTTTTTCAAGATATAAATAGAGTTAAGGCGCCTTCAAATTAGAGACGTGAGGAACGATGCAGTGGCGCCACTGTGGCGCGTTTACCGCACCACTACTATGTAGATTTCATACCATCAGGTGATCCAACTAATCGTTTGCCTCCTGTCCCATAAACAAAAGCATTTTGCAGCCAAGAAGTGCTTCTAAAATATTCTTCATGTCTACAGCTGGCCCCATGACAGCTACTCGTGCTCCATCGTGATACAGCCTTGGGAAGCGCACGAGACGATTTTCTTATCAATATTGACTTACGACATGCTACGTCTAGCAGTAAGTTGATTCAAATTCTAATTGCTCTTTTTTATAATTTGTGAAGCCTTTTGTGTACATTTTGTTACATCCCTTCTCCAAATGGCATACTAATTTTCATAAATCGTAATATGATTTTTAGTAATTTAGTAATATCAATTCAATAATACTTTTTTTATTATTACAAACATCTTATATTTTACAGTTCATATACCAAGATGACTTGGTCGAAAACGAATGGGAGGTGACCAAGATCACGCAATTCATTGTACCAGCAGTGAAGTGGTACCGAATGTATCCTCGTAGCAAAGTGAATACCACCCACCATGGGGACCGGCTGGTACTCAATCTGGACTTTCAGAGGAAGCCGACGAATTACAACATTGTATTCTACACCCCTTTACTTGGTAAGACCTTGATGTACAGTGGGCCACAGTTCCAGCTACCCAGTTCCATTTTTCTCTCGCTCTCATCAAAATTAAATGGTGATTCTTTGCGATATAACGAGACGACATGAAATGGGTTGCTGGAAATGTGGCCTATAGGCTATAGTACGTAAACGTATCAACTAAGGCCTTGTCCAGGAGGGCGAATTTACCGCGAATGTCTTCGCGCATAGAATCAGTTGAAAATTCGACTCGCGCGTGTCTTATGGACCAATGTATTGGCTGCTAGTATCTCTCTCACCAACGCGTGTATTATTCTACGCGCGAAGACATTCGCGACGAATTCGCCTTCTTGGACAAGGCCTAATTTATGGCAAGTGCAGAAGGAGAAAATGTATACTGTATATTATTTTTTTGGATTAAACCTAATAACTATGTCTCTTCCTTTTAGATATATCGTACACCTAGATCACAGGTAGTAAAACTGATACTGCTTCGATAGAGTTGCTAAAACGCACGATTCCGATACGGCGTCCGAACGCAAAAAGACGCGAAATCGCGATGCAGTATCAGAGTAAATACAAATGAGTAGGTCATCTTCATAGAAACGCACCGAGCGCGGTTTGTACGGTATTGACGCGCTCACATACAAACCGTGCTCGGTGCGTTTCTATGAACATGACCTACTCATTTGTATTTACTCTGGCAGTATCGATACAGTCGCAAAATCACCGATAGCCGATGCTAAGTAGCATGTCTGGTATGGCCCTTAATTGTGTATTGTTCCAGTGCTGGTGACCTTCGTCTTAATGTCGTTCTGGAATAAGCCGCTTCAAATGTCCCGAGTTTGGTTCTATGCTGGAGCTACCATACTCATTTGTATTGGATTATGTTACATCGAGTACATGATGCCTTGTCACACTATTCCTACGATTTGTAAGTATTATTTCATGAACCTTTTTTATACTTAAAAAATACTGAGATACAATTTTATAATATAGGCTTAGAGCCAAAGCAACGATGCGTTGCTGCGCGTCCTGTTCGTGTGCCCGCAACAGATATTTCTATCTAAGATATTGGTTCCTAAAGTGGGGGCGCGCCCCCCAGGGGAGGCGCAAAGACCTTTAAAGGGGGCGCGGGCCATCTGTGTACTTAAGTAAGTAAGTTAAGTATAAAAAAACCTGCGACCGCTGAGAGAATGCATTCCAGACTGCTTGATACGACCAATAAATAATCTTGACTTGAAGAGGGGGGGCGCGGATATTTTTTCTATGGTCGAAAGGGGGCGCGTCTCAAATAAGTTTGGGAACCAATGATCTAAGACGCGCAGCGACACCGCCGCCGAAATGCCTTGTGTGTTTTGGCTCTTACTTAAAACTGGATCATCACCTTCTTTCCAGTGGTACTCTACATAACGGTGTTAGGAGGCATTCTACTGGCGATGCTGCTTCAAGTGATAATGATGACTTCTGTCGCCGAAAGGTTGTGCAAGACAATGGTAATGCAAAATCTACTCTCCGCTTATTGGTTTAGGGCGGTGTGTTGTTTGCCAGTTATCAAGGTATGGTTATGCTCATTATCTTAACTTTCATTTTTTTTTAATCAAATACCTACTCTGAGTTCTGTGAGAATAATAAATTGCATATTATTTATTTATTTTTTGGGAAATATACAGTTACAGTATCATTTAACTTAGACTTGTGTTGCCAATTTAGGAAATGCAAATTCAAATAGCCTGTCTATGCTAGCTAGCTAGTTCTCTATACAACTTAGAAATGCCGCTGCCAGTCTCATAGATCGCGGTGAATCTAAGCACTTAACCTCGTAAGACCGAAGAGCAAATTTTGTCGACTTCTAAGTATCGCCGAATGTGCTTTCAGAAGAACGAACAATTTGAAGTCGTAAACGCCGAGCACTTCGAGTAAAAAAATTTCTATGTTAGAGATTTTCTTTTGCACCCATATTTTCAGGGACCCTATATAATAGTGCATAGAGTTTATTTTAGGTAAAAAATAATAAAAAAATGTTTTCTCTTAAAAGAACACAGACTTTAAAAAGAAAAAGTATATAAATTGTATTTTATACTTTAAAGTAAAACATAAATGTAACCTCCTTAATAAATTAATACTACATAAAGATACAATAATGATATAAATAAATGTAACTGAAAAGGCAAAAGTATTTTAATTTTATTTAATGTTTCATTATTAGTACTTTTAAAAGTACTATCGGTTTTATAACATACAATAATGATAGGTTAGAATGTATAAGAAGTAAAGTGAATATTCATGTTAATTATAATATTTCTTAAACTAAAAATCAGAACGTTCTCATGGTAAATTTTCTCAATCATATCATAATTTTAAAAGTCCAATATTCAATCCATCTTAATAGAAAAAATATACAAAAATAAAACTTTCACCATCAAGACCGAATGTTCCTTGCAAAGAACTATTATTTTCAAACGAAAAAAAATCTTACAAAACTTCTTCGAATTGGTAAAAAATTTTTTTTGCTTGTTTGGCAGTATTTTAACTTAAATTATACTGGTTGATCTTTCAATTAAACTACGTTTACGTGAAGAAAAAAAAATTAATCGTACATCACGTCCTCTCGAAAGAACCATCTTGTCAGAGAAAAATGATAATTTGACAGTGACATTTTGTTTTTTTTACATTAATAAGTTCGGGTACCTGATTTTGAATACTTTAAGCCATAGACTATCACTCTTTTTATTCAATAGGCGCGAATTTTTGAACTTAAAATTATCGCTAAAGTTTTAGTTCCTCTGAGGGCACATCCGGCGATACTTACAATTCACCTCCGAAAATGTCTCGGCGTTACTGACTACAAAGTTTCAGTTCCTTCTGAGGCACATCCGGGCTTACGAGGTTAAATATCAAATTGAATTTTCTAAATTTTAAATCTGGGATTCTTCTGATCTGTAACACTATTTTCCATCAGATCTGCAGAAACTACAACACGATCAATGAAGGGTATTCGACTCAAGACGATGAAGATTACTGCGAAATAGACCAAGGCAAGAGCAATGTGGAAGAGATGCAGACTGAAGCCAACAAGTACTGTGAGAAGGAGGAATTCGCAGAAGTAGTTGACAAGATCTTGTTTGTTGTCTACTCTGTGACGTTCGCCGTAATGTTAGGCTTACACTATTAAAGATGAAGTTATGTCTCGAAATTAAACAATAAGAGTAGGCGCACACCGTTGATTTTTAGTTGGCCGATAGTTGTGCCCTATTTTAAATTGTATGAAGAATCGGCCAAATCGAATTGGCGTAGTGTGCGCACTCCCATACATGCCCATACTGATCAACTGCCCGACTAAACTATCGGCCGACGAAAAATCAACTGTGTGCGCCTACTCTAACTTTGCAGAAACATATTTTTTATTTACTTTGCCTTGTTAACGTTGTTAATTATGAAAAGAGTGCCATTTCCTTGGACTCTAGGAGATTCATAATACTTGTACTATAGATTTGTCTTCAATTCTTCTTTTAAGGGCCTGGAAGTAGGTTTCCATATTTAATGATGGTGATGATGAGGAGGGTTGTTATGGCCAGGAGGGCCGTGACGGCCAGGAGGGCCGTGATGGCCAGGAGGGCCGTGATTGCCAGGAGGGTTGTTGGGTCCGGCTTCTGAAATAAATTAAGGAAGTAATTTGAATTGATCCTTTTTCATAACATTCAGTCAAACTTATACATGAATTTACTAGACAATAGCAGCCTTTTAGATAGCAGCTAGTATAATATTAACCTTGAATGAGTTAATACAATAACATAAATTATCGGGTTATATGTACCTACCACTGTTACAATCTGATCAGAGATCAGCTAGGATCAATTTGCATGCCCGAGAGGGCCAATATTGCAAAACATCAAATATTTTAAAAATTGTAGCAATTAATAGTTGAGTATTTAGCTATCAATCAGTCTATAAGAAAGGATAAAACCTATTTCAACCCCTTATATTATTACGAGTATTTCGATAAGCACAGTCGCACACTACACGGACTGTTTTTATTTTGTAATCTCACCGGGTATAAAATTTCTCATCACTGTTAGTAGTTGTAGTAGTATCTAGTTCGGATGTCGTACCTGATGAGCCTTTAGCTAGAACTGTGTTGATGGTGTTCAGCAGAGGGAATGTTCCCTCTCCACAGAGGCCGTGGAAGTCATCAGTCTCGATACTCCAGAGCATGATGCCGCGAAGGTTGAAGCTGTTGGCGTACTCCACTTTGGTGGTGATGGATTCAACGTTATCGAAAGATACCCAGTTGTAGTCGAGGAAGGCGTAAGGCACTTTGGCAAGGTTGTCGGTTTGGACGGTCCAAGAAGACTCGTTCTGAAGGATATAGCAGAACTGTGAACAAGAAAAAGATGATTCATACATACGTCAATGAAGCAGTGACATCTTTTGCTATAAAGTAGGAATCATTATTGAATTCATGTGAATTAGTAATTGTGAATTAGTAGCTGTAGTAATTGAGTTTTATATAAATGCTCCCTTATCTTATACGAGTGTTGCCATATAGTAGAGAATCTTATGAAGTTAGTAGGCTGATCTACATAGTCTTCTCACGTTAGGCTAATTCTAATGCCTGATCTTCATTCAAGGATTTTATCCTGTTGTAAAAAACCTTCTTGATGAATAAAGTGGTCGATTATTATGACCCTTTGCTCATTAACTAACATAATATTGTTTAACTAGACAGATTTAAGCAGCACTTACCTCGTTATACCCAACATATCCACTTTCAGCAGTGTAAGGACCGGCGAGACCAGCTCCGTTAGAAGCTGAATTTGGAGCGTTAACCGAAGGGTCACTCAGGTTGAATGTGCGCCCGTAGAATGGAACCCCCATAACCAACTTATCGGGAGGACATCCTGGAATAATAAAGGAAGGTTAAGGTGAAGAAATTTTTAGTGCCCATAGATTGGACAGATTAATTTGAAGCCGCAATCATTGGTCTGAATAACTCAAAGGAAGGCTGCTATGCTGGAGGAATGGCGGCGGATTGCGAGGCTTGCAACCAAACCAGATGTAACGACCACGACCACTCGTCAAAAGTGTAGCGACGAAGAGAAGAAGTTGAGAAGAGCATCTTCGAGATCAAAAATACTTGTTTTACGAAGTATTGTTTCTCAAAGATCTGAAGGTCATTACCTGCACTAAGCCAATACTTGACAGCGTTATTGACGTTGTACAGAGTGGTTTCGTTCTCAGCACTCTCGCCTTCACTTATGAACAGAGGCGCGTTGTGGCCGGTCACGGAGTCCCAGGAGCCGTGCATGTCGTATGTCATGACGCCAATGTAGTCTACGTACCTGGTGTGGAAAGATGGATTATTATAATGCATACAGTGGAATATAATAAAGAATTCGAGTAACAGAAGAGATAAGTAGTGCCAGTAGTCTTGAACGCTCAAGATTCAATAACAGTAGGCCTAAGATGCGCGCCACGATAAGCGGTTATCACGCCATTTTATCGATTTTGCCCATATATTTTGACGTCGATAAAAGTTATCACGGCGCGCATCTTAGGCCTACTGGTCTGTGATAATAGCAAATGATGTCTCTAATAGTATACTTATGCCCGATTTCACCATCAATCCCTAATTTTTAAGTGACCTCTATGGTAACACATAACAGGAATTTTGTTTTCATAGGGGTCACTTAAAAATTAGGGATTGGAGGTGAAAACGGGCATTAGTGTAATTTATTTATTTTGTGAAAGTCTTTATTTATAACACCACGTTTGTGCGTTATTTCAACTAACCCGAAACTAAGTAGATTTTGTGCTATAGCGATATTATACTTTGTGCTATAGAGACATAGATTAAAGACTCTAGGCACAAATTGTCTTGCTCATCTCACTAACATTAGCCTCAACACAAAAACAACTGATACGCCATCTACGGCGCAAAATATTAAAAAACTTAGGATGAAAGAACATACTTGGCAACACTTGGAACGTCATAAGACTGCACAGCAGCTTCCTCCACAGCAGATACAGCGACTGTCAGCAGTAGACCGTAATTATCGAATTCCTCCCTCAACTCCTTAAGGAGAGTGCTGAAGTTCTCAATGTCGTCTTCACCATGCACCGTGTCTCTGCGATTGGGGTACTCCCAGTCTACGTCCAGACCATCGAAGTTGTATTCCAGTATCAATGCCAGAGAGGTGTTGATGAAGTTCTGCCGATATTCTGGTTCTGCTGCCATCTGAAATAATATTTAATATTGTAAAATAAGTTGTACCTATTCCTGTTGCTACTTAGTTTGGATATTGGGGTACATTACGGCCTATTCAACATTGATACTTAGAGATAATCTGCATTATAGTACCTACATTTGTATGTTACTAAGCCGTTTTCTAAGCTGATTTGCATCAGCAATTAAACTGTCTGCTACTTTGTTAGTAAAATTGATTAGGTAGGTGCCTAATTCCAAATCTTAAGTATGTTAATTAATGCCATAAACGAAATACAATTAAGGCAGATAACAAAATGTAGTTGTAGAAAAGTAAAAGTAAGTAGAAACTTACAATAGAGTAATTAGCTGACCCTTCGCTCCATCCTCCGACAGCTACAAGCGTTTTGAGGTTCGGGTTCTTTTCTTTCAACGAAGTGAAGTTCTTGAAGTTACCTGTTGTTTTTTTTTTTTCAAAGTCTGTTAGTAGGTTTAGATAGTCGGAAAATTGAGGATCGACATGGGATTTACTACACTGGTCATTACAAAAATCGACCCTCCCGCGACAAGCACTTTCAAACGTATGCATCCCCACTTCCCACTAATATTGGCACCATTTAAAAGCTTAGTTCTAAACTTCATTTCATTAAAGGAAAGGTTTTTACCCCAAAAATGTGTCTGTAGAAGAATCCAGAGTCACTTCTCCAAAAAATAGGTAGTTACGCTTGAGCCAACTTTTATGGCTGTAAAACTGTTAAGTTGGGATTAATCGCTATTCATCTGTTAAAGAGGACACGTGAGATCATTATTTGGTTTTCTAACCATAAAAATTGGTCTAATTGATCCCAGAGGTGAGTCCAAAGTGAGGTCTTTTTTCAAGTCACATTTGATGATGAAGATGATGATGATCGTTTATTAAGAAATTAAATGTGTTTTTTTTTTAAGGATATTTATTGGGCTTTCAAATAACACCAATATTGTTGGGGCACCATGATTGTGTCAGTAGAAACGAGTTTTCCTGTAAAACGTGGGCCGATTTTTGTGATGACCAGTATAGTATCATAGAAAAACAAATGAAAGAATCAACGTTCGTTTTGATAGGTCTTAGTGGAGACTATTCCCTATTCCGTTTGATTTTAGAGTAATTATGATAATACATTGCTAACATGAATCGCCAGCAAGAAGGCTATAATAGATGATTTCACGATTAAAATACAAATCTAAGTAGGTACTGTAAAAAGGAAGTCTGTCTTTTTATATTTTATAAACCCATTTTTAATTGCAAAGTAGGTAGGTAGTAATGTTTATGTACAGTTCAAAGTCAATTTTGTTTGCAAATTGAGATGATAAACATCAATTTTCACGAGCACTAACCATAAAACAGATAGGTAGTAACAGAAGACGATCATCACGGCCACAGTGTCCTATCCATCCATTTCCGTTTTTGCTCTCGCTTTCATCAAATGGTGATTCTTTGCGATTAGAACGAGACGATATGACCGGCAATGGGCAGTTAACACTGTTGCCGATAATACTTCATTTTGCATACGCACACAGACAAGGCATTCAAGCTCGCACTAGTTTGTGTTTAGACTGTTACGCGACACTTCGCGCGCTATTGGCAATATCGTGCCCGTGAGCATTGTCTATGAGAGTTGCCCGAGCGCACTTTGTATAATAATATAGATTTTCTTCTACTCCTATCTAATTTTTGCGGATTACTAATGTTTGGCCAAAAAACGTTTCCCAAATTATCACATCGCAAACAACGTTTCGCAAATTTTCATTTGGCAAATTCTCATTTGGCAAAGCAACTTATTGCAAACTTTTAATTCGCAAATGTTGTTTTTGGCATATTATTGTTTAGCAAATTATTGTTTGGCAAAGTATGGTTTGCCAAATGTTTCATTAGGCAAAAATATTTCACGATAAACTATTTACAAAATAATTTGATTGGTGCATAGAATGGATACAAATTAGCTTGTGGTTATTATTTTGTTTAGTGGGTAGTTAATATAAAATTTGTTCTACATTAATTTCCTTATTTCATTCTTTTTATCGAAATTTCCAAACGATTCATTAACAATA